TGGAATATTTTTCCATCTCTTTGTGTCTTCCTCAATTTCTTTCAGAAGTGTTCTGTAGTTTTTAGGGTATATTTTGAGAACCATTTGAGTGGTAAATGGTTCTCCAACCTTTTATTTTCAGGTTGTAGGTGTCCTTCTGTCTAAAATGAGTCTCTTGTAGACAGCAAATAGATGGGTCCTGTTTTTTTATCCAGTCTGAAACTCTGCGCCTTTTGATGGGGTCATTAAGTCCATTCACGTTCAGAGTTACTTGAACTTCTTCTTAAAGGGGAGTTTTAAGAGTCCTCCTTAAAATTTCTTGCAGAGCTGGTTTGGAGGTCACATATTCTTTCAGTTCCTGCCTGTCTTGGAAGCTCTTTATCTCTCCTTCCATTTTGAATGAGAGCCTTGCTGGATAAAGTATTCTTGGTTGCATGTTCTTCTCATTTAGGACCCTGAATATATCCTGCCAGCCCTTTCTGGCCTGCCAGGTCTCTGTGGAGAGGTCTGCTGTTACCCTAATATTCCTCCCCATGAAAGTCAGGGACTTCTTGTCTCTTGCTGCTTTAAGGATCTTCTCTTTATCTTTGGAATTTGCAAGCTTCACTATTAGATGTCGAGGTGTTGAACGGTTTTTATTGATTTTAGGGGGGATCTCTCTATTTCCTGGATCTGAATGCCTGTTTCCCTTCCCAGATTGGGAAAGTTTTCAGCTAGGATTTGTTCAAATACATATTCTGGCCCTCTGTCCCTTTCGGCGCCCTCGGGAACTCCAATTAAACGTAGGTTTTTCTTCCTCAGACTGTCATTTATTTGCCTTAATCTGTCTTCATGGTCCCTTAATTGATTGTCTCTTTTTTCCTCAGTTTCCCTCTTTGCCATTAACTTGTCTTCTATGTCACTCACTCGTTCTTCCACCTCGTTAAGCCTCGTCGTTAGGACTTCTAGTTTGGATTGCATCTCATTCAATTGATTTTTAATTTCTGCCTGATTGGATCTAAATTCTGCAGTCATGAAGTCTCGTGAGTCCTTAATGCTTTTTTCTAGAGCCACCAGTAGCTGTAGAATAGTGCTTCTGAATTGGCTTTCTGACATTGAAGTGTAATCCAGATTTTGTAACTCTGTGGGAGAGAGGGCTGTTTCTGATTCTTTCTTTTGAGGTGAGGTTTTCCTTCTAGTCATTTTGCTCAGTGCAGAGTGGCCAAAAACAAGTTGTATTGGAACACGGGGGAGTATCACTGGTCCGTCTAGCTGGTCTTCTGGGGGAGGGGCCTGCTGTGCTGATTTTCAGGTGTTAGCACTTGGGGGAGCTGCTCTGCCCCTGCCTGCTGCCGGGCTCAGCGGGGGTTGTTTACCCCGTGGGGCCCCAGGAGGAACAGCAGCAGTTGCTATGGCAACTCTGGAAGCCTGGATTCAGCCTCTGCAGGAACTACGGGGCTCGGGGCTCTCGGTTCTCCGTCTGCAGGGCCTGGAGGCTCCGGGGCGGGGCCGCTGATCTGCTCAGCTCCGGGCAGGAGCGTCCTTGCTGTCCTGGGCCCTCCCAGCCTCTGCCTGTCCCGGGGGAGGCCGGATCCTGGGCTGTGTCCCGGAGCCCTGTGCTCCGGGGCCTGCGCTGGTGGATTCGCGCTCCCGCCCCGCAGCTCCCTCCCTGGAGCCGCTCCCGAGCCCCTCCGAGCTGCTCCGGTCGGTCCCTCCGTGCGCGCTGCAGCCCTTAGGGAGCTCGGAGCACTCTCCTGCGCTCGCAGGTGTCTGTTAGTGTCCCCGGGAGCCCAAGGGCATCCCCGCCCTCCTGGGTCCTGCTCCAACTCCCTGCGAGCCCCTTGCCGCCCGGGAAAGTTGGTGCAGCTCCTGCTCCTCCGGGAAGGGACGGGGCTCTCCTGTCCTGGGGACACTCGCCCCGGCCTCAGCCCGGCTCCTCGCGGGGCCCCTCCCCCTCGGAGGCCTTTTGTTCCTTTATCTCTTTTTCCCCCCGTCTTCCTACCTTGATAGAAGCGCGAACTCTTCTCACTGTAGATTCCAGCTGGTCTCTCTTTACATCTCAGGCCGAATTCGTAGATTTTCAGGATGGTTTGAAGGTTATCTAGGTAATTTGGTGGGGACAGGTGATTTGGGGACCCTGCTCTTCCGCCATCTTGCCCCTCCCCCGAAAGTATTTTTTTAATATACATTTTTATCCTCATTTATGATCCACTGTTTCATATTATACTTCAAAAACATCTCTTATTTGTAAATTATTTATTAGTTTTTTAAGACTTTTCCTCTAATATATTTCAGAGCTCTTCAAAATGCTTATATTTGTTTTACATTTGGGAGTATTTTTTTTTAAAGATTTTATTCATTTATTCATGAGAGACAGAGAGAGAGAGGCAGAGGGAGAAGCAGGCTCCATGCAGGGAGCCTGACGTGGGACTCGATCCAGGGTCTCCAGGATCATGCCCTGGACTGAAGGCGGCGCTAAACCGCTGAGCCGCTGGGGCTGCCCAACATTTGGGAGTATTTCTGAAGTGAATCTTTTTTGTTATTGATTTTTCACATTGTCAAATCTGCCTTTTATTGTTTCTGGTATGGCAACTGCTGAATTTTTCCTTCTTTCATCACTGTCCTGTCCTGTGTCACTCTGTTTCTAAGTCTATTCTTGTTTAATGGCTGCCATGTCATCTCAAATAATTTAGGGGGCTTCCTACAATTCCATGAGCTCTGAGGCCAGGTCTGTGACAGGAGGCTGAGGGCAAATGTATGATGTGGGCCATCCCAGTAAAAAGAGGGTAAGCCTCGAGTCAGAAAAAGCCAAGGAAATCAGGGTGGGGGTGAGTAGGGAGAGGGTGTAAAAAAAAATGTGTGTTGGGTACGGTACTGAGTGCTTTCCATAAGGACCCCCATTTTATCCTCACAATAACCCTAAAAGCGAGGCATTATTATCCCAACCCATCCCTCCCATGTTTGGCACTCTTAATTACACTGAACTGGATTGGATTAAGAGCTGGCCTCAAGAGGGCAAGGTGGCCCTCTAGTCCCCTGATAATTGTGATGCCTCACTTTTGCTAACACAAGAGTATTATTCTCACTAAAATTTTGTGAGATTGTTTGAAAAGGTAATTGTCATTATCCCCAGAGATCAGGAAACTGGAATTCAGAAAAGGCTACACTCAAACCCTATCTCTGGGTTTCTGTGTTGTCCCTAACATCTGGAGCCAAGACAACTGATGACGAAAACAGAGCATCAACCTCAGCACCTCCCAGGAATGGCTTCATATCCTGTTGTGCAACTTTCTGGAGCCTTGAGGTTAGAGTGTCCCAGGCACATCAGTGCCAGCTGGTGTTGGCGCACATGAAGGATGAGGAAGGCCAGGCTCTGGGAACTGCTCTGGTTGCTCTTCATCTCAGGTGAGGCGAGGAAGAGGCATGAGCAGGTGAGGCCTCTGCCCCAAACCTCGGAGATCCCACCATGAGAAAAGCTTCCCTTTTCTTTGGAAGCTCTGGGGGTGGGGAGGATGTGGCTACCCAACATAGAGCCAACCAGAGACTTGCCAGACTGGGTCTCTCTACCCAAACTTAACAGAACAGGAGACTGTATATGGCCTGAGAACAGAAATAGAATGGGTGAATTAGGGAAACAGGATATCTGTGCATTTTGATGTTGGCAAAGATAGACACAACTCTGGATTGGAAAGTGCTAGAGTAAATCTAAACCTGACATGATCCAAAATAATTTTGTTTGCATTTGAAGTTTTGTTTCAAATGTTATATTTGTGGTTTTGATGTGATGTGACCGTCTATTAATCCCAAAAGACATAATTCATTCAACAAGTATTTCCCAGGAGCCTACTGTGGGCCAGGAAATCTGCTAGTGCTGAGGAATAGCAGAACAGAAGGGAAAAGAGGGGGCTTGATGCTCACTTTCCTGGGGGCTGTGACTCCAGGCTGCCATTGTCTGCTGTTGTTGGAGGCCTTGTTGCCCAGGCTTTGCAGGTTTGCCCCGTCACCACACCCTCACTTCTCTTGTACAGCTCACACTTTCCCTAAAGATGGAAGCATTTGGGACTTTAGATGTTCCCCTCCTAATCCTTATGAATAAATTGGGAAAAAAAACAAAGAGAGGGAAAATGTCAATAACAAGTAAAAAGAAGAGTTTGCTGTGGAAAGACATGAAGATTACAGAGAAAAGGTGGTTTCCAGGAACCCACTACTTTGAGCAAGGTCACCTTGCAGAGCCTGCACACACATGGCACTTTAAGCCTGCTTGGAGCTGGGGTAATAACTCAGATAGGCAGATGGGAGCTTGGTTCTCATTCACTTGTGTCATAATCATGTTTTTTTCCAAAGCAGAACTAGGAGAAGATGGAGAGTAGATGCTTGTGTACTTGTGTTCAAGAAAGCCCGTGGTATATATTTCATTGGGTCCTATGAGGGTGGCTTTGGGATAACCTAAAGTCTCTTTCTAACTCCTGTATCCTAAGGAACAGAATCATTAGGTACCTATTCAGGCGTGGACTGGGACTGCTCTCATCTCAACGAGACAGCTGCCTTGGGCAACACAGCTCTGGGGTTTAAAGCTGAGTCTGGGGTCAGACTAGCCAGGTTTGAATCCTGACTCTATCACTTTCTACTGTGGAACTTCGGGCAAATCACTTAATAACCTCTGAGTTGTTAAATAACCTTTCTGTGCCTCAATTTCCTTTTCTCTGAAATAGGAATAATGGTAGTATCAACCTTATAAAATATGAAGCTTAATGATAAAGTTAGGAAGATTACATGAGCTAGTACTTTTAAAAACAGCAATAGAAGGAAGTTGTTATTCTTTTTTATTAACATAAGGAATTCCTTTCTTGCAGTGGTGCAAGAAATGGCATGCAGATAGTACTTCAGTGCTGAGTCCTTGCTGTCTTCTTTCACAAGAGATAGGCAAGTTTGTGCACAGTCTCAGACTCCTGTAACTCCTACTCTCTTTGTCGACTTGGGCCGCTATCACAAAATACCACAGACTGGGTGGCTTATAAGCAACAGGCATTTATTTCTCACAGTTTTGGAGGCTGGAAGCTCACGATCATGCTGCCAGTTTGGTTGGGTTTTGGTGAAGGCCCTCTTCTGGATTGCAGACTGTGGACTTCTCACTATGTCCTCCCCGGGTGGAGGGGGTGAGGGTGCTCTCTGCATCCCCTTTTATAAGGGCACTAATCCTTTTTGTAGGGTCAATCATGACCCAATCGTCTCCCGAAGGCTCCACCTCCTAACATTATCACCTTGGGGGTTTGGATTTCAATATATGACTTTTGCGGGGAACACACACATTTAGACCATATTATCTACTTTGCCCAAGTTGACAAATAACTTATCTATAACATTTTACATTAATGTTACAGAGGGTGGAGAGAGGAGGTGTGTATCTTTCTCAGAGCCCAACACAGTGCCTTGCACACAGTAGTCTGTTAGTCACTGATTGATGAATGAGTGAGTCACGGTTGGCTTAAGATAGCCTTCAGCCTCCGTTTGCCTGTCTCTTGGAGCAGAATTTCTGACCAGAATTCAGATGACTTTCCAGGAAGCTTGTTTTTTAGATTTCCTTAGAAACAGTCTGGTCCCAGAAGAATTGGCCTGGTTTCATTTTCAAAATCTTTAGGAGTCCATAGGTGGGCTGTGATGATAGCCCAGGGGCTTCATTAAAGGGGTCGTGATTGGCATTTTTCAATGGGCATTTTCAGAGCTACTCCCCAAGGATAAAATTTTGTGTGTGTGTGTATGTGCGTGTGCACGTGCAGTAGTATTAATAATAAGAGTAGTGGTTGTAGGTACTGGTAGTCTGACCCACAGTTTGACCCAACATTACTGTCCAGTCCATTATTTGGTGGTTTCCACGGAAGAAAGTAACCCAGGCTTGAGTGAATATTCTGTAGACCCCGCGGATAAGTTATAGAGCCTTGTTGTGTCGCCAAAAACACAGATCAAGATCTTACTTCTTCTCAACTTGGTCTTCCCATTGACAAAGCTCCCTTGGACTAGACCAGAATTGATCTCCTTCCCCTACTTAGACGCAGTTTTCCTAGCTGTTTAGTGGAATCACTGTCCATTATTACCATGTCTTCACATCTACTCATCACCTTGTATGTCCTCTATAATCTTCCCTTCCATTATACCCCTATCACTCATGGTCTTGGCACACGTACCGTGTTCTGCCTCCAATCAGGCAATTTTTCCCTTTCAAAAACAATCATTTATGAAAGTTTGCACAAAAAATGTGCAGTCTAGTTCTTGGAGTAAGAACAGAAGTGCTGTAAAAAGATTTGGGATCTAGTGCTGGCTTTCAGGGAAGTTTGCATGTTCTCTGGAGGCCTTGAGGATCTCATCTGGAAAATGAGTGGTTGAACAAGAAAGAGAGGTGATTTCTCTCTTTTTTTTTTCCAAAGAGAGGAAAACTATTCCTCATAGAGTCTAACTCTTATTCCCTACCTACAGAACTCCAAGCTGCAACTGAACCAGATGAAATAAAGTATGTCTTAGCAGAGGGAGGCACCCTGAATATGAAATGTACCACCTCCACCTGGAAGTACACCCATAGCCAGAAAGCTTGGCAGAAGCTTATGGATAGAGAGAAGCCCCTGACACTGATTTTCACAGAGAGTGTTTCAGGGGATACCAGTCAAGTCCGGAGAGGCAGGTACTTCCTAGAAGACATCCCCAGTGAGGCCATCCTGAACGTCCAAATGACTAATCTTCAAGTGGAGGATTCAGGACTGTATCAGTGTGTGATCTACCACCCTCAGAAGGACCCTGACATCCTGTACCCCCGTGTCCGCCTGGTGGTGACCAAGGGTGAGTGATCTGGAGGGGTGTAGGAGAATGGGGGAGAGCCAGGCCAGGTGAGGGTATGGGCAGTGGTGGTAGCACCACTATGGCTGTGGCTCAGAATTTCTAGCAGTCTGGCCTCTCCCAAAAGCTCCTTGTCTCTCATTTGAGGTCATTGAGATGCATTTGGCCCAAAAGTAAGAAGGGGCTTCTATGTATGGGATTTCTCTTGGGGTAGCAGAGCTTAATTTGAGGTCCTATTGTAGGAAATGGGGTATAGTGAAAAATGAGTGATAGACTTGGATAATTTAGTCTCATTCTTTAGATTTCCAAATGGAAATTTTTTTGGGGGGATGCCTCTATGATCCATTATCTCCTTCCCAAGGGTCCATTTGATGGCCTTCCTGTGTGCTTCCAAAAGCAGTGCTTCTCAGACTTTACCGTGGGTACAAACCACCTGGGGATCTTATTTCAACGAACTAGGGGTGGTGGAAGGGGAGGAGGGTGGGGGGTGGGGGTGAATGGGTGACGGGCACTGAGGGGGACACTTGACGGGATGAGCACTGGGTGTTATTCTGTATGTTGGTAAATTGAACACCAATAAAAATTAATTTATTAAAAAAAGCAGCCTCTGATATAATAGGTCTAGGGTGGGACCTAGATTCCACATTTCTGATATGCTTGTAGGTGCTGCTGCTGCTGAGGCTGGTCCCTGGCCCCCACTTTTGGTAGCAAAGCTACAGAGCTCACTTCATGTCGCCTCTCATAGATGATGCTGTCTCACTGGGTAGTAGTGGCCAGTTTACTTAAATGCCTCCCATGTTCATCTCTGAGTAAAAGAACCTGTGCCTCTCTCAGCTCTGTATCTCTAGCAACTAATGTGGTACCTGGCACGTAGTAGGGCCTAAGTAGATGTTAACTAGGGAAATTAAGGAGAGGAAAGGGAAGAAGGCTCAAGTTTCTGGCACCTGGAGAATCCTAACCCTAAGGAAGATAAAATTCATATGCAATACATTAATAATAGATAATTTGAAAAGCAATATGCTACAGGTTCAGGTGAGGACAAGGCAGAGAATGGTACAAGTTTGAGTAATCAGAAAGTTATTCTTGAAGAAGGTGGTGAAGAATAGCAGGCAAGTGCATTTCCAGTGATAGGAATAGCTTGAATTCCTTTATTTCCCCCCTCTTCCTCCTTAACCACCTTCCTCCCTCCTCCTTTCTCTCTGTCTCTGTCTCTGTCTCTCTTCCCTTCTCTGCCTTTCTTCCTTAGTTCTTTCCTTTTTCCTGTCTCTGACCCAGGCTGACTTCACACTAATTTTCTAATCTTAGCAAAAGAAAAACTTGTTTCATGAATGGCCATGTTCATTGCCCTCCTCAATTTCATTTGCCTTGCCACCTATCCATCCTTCCTTCCCTCCTCCCTCCCTCTCTCCCTTCCTCCCCTCCTTCCTGGCTGCCTGCCTTCCTGCCTTCCTTCTATTCATCTTTTTCTTTCTTTCTTTCTTTCTTTCTTTCTTTCTTTCTTTCTTTCTTTCTTTTTTCTTTCTTTCTTCTTTTAATTTTTTTATTGGAGTTCAATTTGCCAACATATAGCATAACACCCAGTGCTCATCCTGCCAAGTGCCCCCTCAGTGCCTGTCACCCAGTCACCCCAACCCCCCGCCCACCTCCCCTTTCACCACCCCTTGTTCGTTTCTCAGAGTTAGGAGTCTCTCATGTTCTGTCATCCTCACTGATATTTTCACTCATTTTCTCTGCTTTCCCCTTTATTCCCTTTCACTATTTTTTATATTCCCCAAATGAATGAGACAATATAATGTTTGTCCTCGATTGACTTATTTCACTCAGCATAATATCCTCCAGTTCCATCCACCTCGAAGCAAATGGTGGGTATTTGTCGTTTCTAATGGCTGAGTAATATTCCATGCTTCCATCTACCAACCCTCTTCCCAAAAATTCATCCTCATCTTATCCATACATTTACTCATTGTGCCTTCTTGCTGATCCTTTAGGCATCACTGCATCAGACAAGCGTCCTACCCAGAACTTGGCTCAGATTTCCACCCATCCTCCTACCACTACCAAGGCCCAGAGCACGCTTCTTGCCAGCCCCAGGACTGTGACCCAACTCCCACCCAAATCAACTGCTGACACCTCCTCTCCTGACTTTGGAGTCAACATCACAAATGTGACGAATGTCACCAGCTATGGTTTCAGGTCTCTGGCCCTACTGGTTTCTGAGTCCATGTGCTTGAGAAGCTGTGGGGAATGATGGATGGGGTTGTGGGGAGGGCAGGACAGACTTGAGTCACCTAATTCTGGTGAAATATCCCTGGGGAGGAAGGGGGTGGTGCTAGAATGGGAAGAGACTGTTGGTGAGACTGCTCACTCTTCCTGGTTCACCTTGTTTTCTTGCACACTAGAGGAGCAAGGAGAGGGAAAGGATGTCTTTGCTGAATTCCAGTAGGTCTCAGCCAACCCCATCAGCCTAATGGTATAATGGAATAAGGGCCCCTGGGTTCTAATAGCAGCCAGACTGGCTTGCTGTGTGACTTTAGGTGAGTCATGAACTCTTTGTAGCTTGTTTCCTTGTCTATAGGGAGGCTAGAAAATGCAGAGCTGGAAATGATAATCTAGCCCAACTGCTCTCAGTGGCTGCAGCATGTTAGGATTACTGGAGTGTTTGCTTTTGCTTTGGTTTGTGTTTAATACTGATGCATGTGCCCTCCTGTAGACCAGGATTTCTGGAGATGGGGCTGGTCTCAGTATTTTTTATGAGATCCTCAGGAGATTTCTTAACGTGCAGGCAAAGCTAAGAACCATTAACTTTGCATGCAAAACCCTCTTTACAGTTTCTTATTAAATGTTGACTTACCTTTGAATGTGTTGATTATTAAATATTTAATTAACAGAAAAATATTCATCAATATTCCTACTAATCTAACATGTCTGATCTCCACATTCTCTTTGTAGTCTTTATTCATGTTCATACATATTTAATATAGCAGTAATTCTAATTATAAACATTGCTATTATTTTTCTATGCTAAAACTATCCTTTGATGTTGCTACCTAGACTTCATGATTATAATCTCAACAAATGCATCCTTTTCTCAATGAACCAGCCATGACTTACATCTTGACTTGCTTTAGACGCTGAGATTGTTTTAATTTTTTATGGTATTGATAACTTTGAGATGAACATTTTTGCAGATGTCTTTTTTTCTTTTAAATTATTTATTCAGGGATCCCTGGGTGGCGCAGCGGTTTGGCGCCTGCCTTTGGCCCGGGGCGTGATCCTGGAGACCCAGGATCAAATCCCACGTCGGGCTCCCTGCATGGAGCCTGCTTCTCCCTCTGCCTGTGTCTCTGCCTCTCTCTCCCTCTCTGTGTGTGACTATCATGAATAAATAAAAAATTTAAAAAAAAAATAAATTATTTATTCAAAGGAAATTCCCTTAAGAGAATATGAATGTTTATATTGCTCTATATACATATTGCCAAATGTCCTCCAAAGGTTGGAAACAATTTGTGTTGTGATCCATAATATATAAGTAAAGCAGTTGTCACCACAGGGATCCTTTGCCTACAAGGATTTGGAAAATATTTCTACTAAATTTGATGTGAACTGACACTTGTTTTCATTTCTCTCTTACTATGGACTAGGAGCTCTACAAAGGTAGAGGTAGTGCCTCTCTGAACTTTGTCCCCTCCCACCGCCCCCACCACTTCCCCAACAAGTGTTTTGAAGGAGCCAGTGCCTGGTAAATAATAGGTGCTTATTAAATCTTTGTGAACTAAGTAAACAATCAGTGAGAATCAACATTTTTCTTTTTAAAAGTTACTTTGGTTTTCCAGCATATAAATCGAGAGTACATACTATTACCCACATAGAGGCTGCACCTCTTCTATTAACTTTATTTATTAACTAATATGAACTATTCTATCAGTCAGAATCCAATCAAGGAAGCAGAAGCCACCAAGCTGTTTGAAAAAGAAATGTTTTAGTACAGGGAGCTGTTTGCCTAGGTAATGGAAGAACTGTGCTTCCAATCTGGGGATGGATGGGGTGGGGAGCACCTCAGAGGGAGCCCCTGTCACTCCGTCTTAGGGTGAGTTCCCTGGAAGCAAGCAGTGGGGAAAGTCTTGTACAAATGTAGGAAATGACCTCAGGTAAATACATCAGGGAAGTGAGACCAGGAGAGAAGGAAACTTAGCAAGTGTGTCATCACCAAGCTGAGTCTTTGGGGCTCAGTCCTGAAGGGCAGTTCTGGAGGACCACGGGACTTGTCTATATCAGAGGCTGGGGGAGCTGGAGTTTTTATACGCCTGAATTCCCAATCCTCTGTTAGGGGCAGCCCAGGGCCATATGAATTTCAGGCCCTGGAGTGGGTACGGTGGTCTGGTGGCCTGTGTGCAGCCTCAGAAAGGGGTGCGTGCTTGCTCTCAAAAGTGGACACCCTCCAGGAGCTCCACACATGAATATGTGAAAGGGCTGAGAGGACAGAGGGGACTTGAAGGTCAAGCTGAGCTGTGCCTTGGAGAAGTGGACTGCACCTGTGCTGTGGATGGCGCTACACTAACCATGAGGGGCCAGGAGCTGCCAGGGGTTGAACTTGACCAGCCGCTGGGATATGTAGTTCCAGGTGATGGAAGACATGGGGGACAAGGAGGACAGGGAGGACAGTGCTACAGGCCCACAGGGACTTCAGCAGAAAGGGGCCTTTGCTGCTTTCTGTCACCATTCTGTCATTTCCCCCTTTGTGAGCTCATACATTTGATTTTAAGTTTTGTGTGGGTAAATGTGTTGATTTTTAAATTATTGCTTTGCTTTATTCCTTAATGTGCTTGATTCTATTTTCTGGTGACGTTTCTAGGTGTTTGTGGGTGTTTTGTTTTGTTTTTCATTTTATTTAAATCTTTAGTCCATCTTGGGGGTGGGGGTGTATTTTGCTAGATGGTATAAATTGTATAAAAATGACTTTTTCTTCATATTACAATCCAGATACCACGCGATTATTTATTAAATAATCCTGGGGAACCCTGTCGGGACCTCTCTCACTTTTGAGAGCTTTCTCTAGTTCTGCTTAATAAACTTCTATCGCTTTGCCCACTCACACACACACAAAAATAATAATAATAAAATAAACAATCCTTGCCTACCTCCTGGGCTGCCAAATCCCTTAGATGTTAAATTTGTATATAACATTAGGCGAATATCTAGGTTTCTGTTTGTTTTACTGTCACCTATTTCTCTTTTTGCCCTGTGTCCTATCATGCAGATTGGTTGTACTATAATCTGTATGCATATCACTGAGTATAGATAGGCCATGTTTCCTCACTCATGGTATCTCTTCTTATGGTATCCACAAATGCTATCTCAGAACTTTTAGAACCATTATGCTAAAATCTGTAAAAGTTCATGATGAGATTTGGGCAAGGATTGGATTCTTCTGTTTACAGATGAGGAAACAGGCCAGAGCCATGAAAGGCCAGAGCCCTTTCAGGAAGCAGGCCATGCTGCTGGGGCTACAAACTAGGCTTCCTTGCTGAGCCTTCACTCTCTACTGCATCCCAGTGAGGAAGAGAGTCCTAAGAAGCCTGCCTCTTCTCCCCGCTGCCTCTTCTGCACATGGGCCCTATGCTCTTCACTAATATATTTCCAGTCAGTAGTTTTAGGCAATGGGACATACTAAAGGCACAGGACCAGTCAGTATGGGGACATGTGCTAGAAAGGCCTAAGCAGATAAGAGAAGGGGCATGAAGGACTTCTGTAAATGCTCAGGTATGAGGCGTGCCGGAGTAGCGACAACTTACAACTCTTCTTTCCCCAGGTTCTCTGTGATCAACATTGTCATTCTTGTGCTGTGTGGACTCCTGAGCAAGAGCCTGGTCTTCACTGTCCTGATTGCTGTCACACAGAGGTCATTTGGACCCTAGGCTGGTGAAGCCATGAGAATGACCTCTGATTTCTAACCACATCCCTCTGGCAATTGTCCTGGAGGAGAGCTGTGAGGGGGAAGGGAAGGAAGGGCAATGCCATGAGTTGAATCTGTAACAGGTTATTTCTAAGGCTCAGGTCCCACCTTCCCACCCTGCCAGCTCTCCTCATTACATTAATAACATTGGGTATGTGTTTTGCCCATTCAGAAGAGAAGATAGAGCTGCAAACATGCCTGTTCTACTAGTGGTTCAGGATTTGCCTTAAATAAAGAGATGTTTATTTAATGTTCTTCAATGTTCTTTACTGTTGCTGTCTCATGGGGGTTGTGAGGTACAGAGGGCACTGCTGCTAATTCTGCCCTTGTTCTTCCCCTGGGCTATAACGTTTTTGCCTGATCTGGACAGAGCTCCTACTACAGAAACATCCTGTTCTCCCTACCTCTTCTCTAGCATCAGATGCTTGGATTTCTCTCTTCATCTGTGGTCCTCTCCCACATTCCCAGAGAAGGGATTTGAAAAGCATGGATTAAGAAGAAGAAATGACATCACGGTGAGAATTCTAAATTTGGGAAAGAGAAAACAAGTTAACAAGAGGTTGTATCCTGGGAAAATACTGGATGAGATGGGGTCCAAAACATAGGACTGATAGAGAATCTCATTTGTTGATCACATGCCTTATCAAGGGTACACTATTACTGAATCCTCAGAACATACCCATGAGGTATGCAACTAGAAACATACCTCAACAAAATAAAGGCCTTCTATAAAAACCCCAGAGCTAACATTATACTCAGTAGGGGAAAACTGAGCTTTTCCCCTAAGGTCAGGAACAAGACACGGATGTCCACTCTTACCACTTTTATTAAACATAGTACTGGAAGTCCTAGCTGCAGCAATCAGACAACAGAAAGAAATAAAAGGCATCCAAGTTGGTAAGGAAGAAGTAAAATTTCCACTATGTGTAGACAACATGATGTTCCATATAGAAAATCCTAAAGACTCTACTGAAAAGCTGCTAGAACTGATTAAAGAATTCATTAAAGTTCCAGGATACAAAATCAATGTACAGAAATCCACTGCATTCCTATGCATTATGCACTAAAAATGAAACAGTAGAAAGAGAAATTAAGAAAATAATCCCATTTATAATTACACCAGAAATAATAAGATACCTAGGAAAAAATTAACCAGAGGGGATGAAAAATCTATACTTTAAAACCTATAAAACATTGATGAAAGAAATTGCAGATGACACAAAGAAATAGAAAGATATTCCATGCTCATGGATTGGGAGAACAAGTATTGTTAAAATGTCTATACTACTCAAAGCAATCTACAAATTTAACGCAATCCTTATCAAAATACCAACAGCATTTTGTTTTTCTGTACACCTGTCAGAATGGTTAAAATAAAAAACAAGAAACAGCAGGTGCTGGCGAGGATGTGGAAAAAAAGGAGCCCTTGTGCACTCTTGATGGGATGCAAACTGGTGTAGCCACTGTGAAAAACAGTATGGAGGTTCCTCAAAAAATAAAAATAGAACTACCCTAAGATCTAGGAATCACACTACTGGGTATTTACCCAAAGAATACAAAAACAGTAATTCAAAAGGGTACATGCACCCCTATATTTATTACAGCATTATTTACAATAGCCAAAATATGGAAGGACCCCGATTGTTCACTGGTAGATGAGTGGATAAAGAAGATGTGGTGTATATATATACAATTGAATATTACTCAGCCATAAAAAAAGAATGAAATCTTGTCATTTGCATCAACATGGATGGAGCTAGAAAGTATAATATTAAGTGAAATAAGCTAGCCAGAGAAAGACAAATACCATATGATTTCACTCCAATGTGGAATTTAAGAAACAAAACAAATGAGCTAAGAAAAAAAGAGAGAGCCAAACCAAGGGACAGACTCTTAACTATAGTGAACAAACTGATGGTTACCAGAAGGGAGGTGGGTGGGAGATGGGGAAAATAGGTAATGGGGATTAAGTGCCTCTCCTGATGAGCACAGAATAATATATGGAACTGTTGAATCATTATATTTTACATCTGGAACTAATATAACACCATATGTTATCTACATTGGAATTAAAATAAAATTTTAAGTAAAAAAATTTAAGAAAGGAAATATGTACCTAGAATGAGACTACATAAGTAATAAGTCACTATTTACTAACAGGAACAAAAGCTAGAGTTCCTTTTCTGAGGACTAAGGGCTTCAAAGCCATATAGAATGGAAAGGGGTTTTGTCAAGTCTAAATGTTTCTTCTCCTTGTATCACATGAGAAGCAGGGATAGTAGCCCACAAATGGGGCTCTCTTCCTTTAGAACAGAAGAGGTAGAAAATCAGAAAACCCTGACTTAAATCTGTTGGAGTTTGCAAGACATGGGTGCGCCTGAATGCCTATTTTATGGGTGAGCATGAGAGCTACAGGGCAGTTATAGGGCAGACAGAGAAGGAAGGCAAAGTGAGAACCAAGAACCCACATAGGGATAGCCTGCAGAAGTCTAACTGGTGGGGGGTGCCTCGGTGGCTCAGTTGGTTAAGCAGCCAACTCTGGGTTTTGTCTGGGGTCATGATCTTAGGGTTGGGGGATCAAGCTCCAGGTAGGGTTCTGTGCTCAGTGAGGAGCCTGCTTGAGATTGTCTCTCTCCTTCTGACCCTCCCCACCTCTCTCTCTCTCTCTCTCTCCTTCTAAAATAAATAAATAAATCTTTTTAAAAAAGACATCTAACTGGTGAAACCAAGAGACAATGCACACAGTAGAGGCCACAGCTGAGGTCATAGAAGAAAACAGTCAAAGGGTCTGTTCACTGATTAGAATTCTGCACCCAATTCCCATCTCTCTCTCTCTCTCTCTCTCTCTCTCTCTCTCTCTCTGTGTGTGTGTGTGTGTGTGTTTGGGGGGGGGTTTCCCATACAAACAAGCAATTCTTGGACACCAGCTGGGTGTCCTTTAATTCAACTCAATTCTGATACTACCTACCCAAAGATATAATCAGATTCTACAGATTGAGGGCTCAGTTCCACAAGACTCCCCCTCCTCGTCTTTAGATGCCAGTGGCAGCATTTGTGCTTCTGGTCCACCTACTAGAGGAGTTTCCAGTGCTCTCCTCCTTGGGTTCCATTAATTTGTTAGAGCAACTTGCCAAGCTCAGAAACATTTTACTTACTAGATTACTTGTATTTTATAAGAGAAATTAAAGGATATGACTCAACAGCCAGATGAATAAATAAATAAGGTGAAGTCCTGAACAAAACGGTTTCTGTCCCCATAGAGTTTGGAGCCCAGCACAGTGGCACATGGAAATGTTCTGGTTTCCTAGCCTGGATACACTCTGAACTCCCCAATTTTTGTTGTTTTTTTTTTATTGGAAGTTTCATTACATAGGCATGATTGATGAATGTGTTGGTCACTGGTGATTGATTCAACCTCCAGCCCCTCCTTCTTCCCCAGAAATCAGGGGATGGGGTTGAAAGTTTCAAGATTGATTCCGCAGGCAACAGCCTCCATCTTTCTGGGAATTCCAAGAGTTTATTCACTGACATAAACTCAGGTGTGGTAAAAAGGGGCTTGTTATGAACAAAACATTCATGTCACATTTATGGCTTTGAAGTGTTTTCAGAAACTGAGGAAAAGAGACCAAATGTGACAAAAGAAGCTCCCACTGCTCTTACAGCTTAGGAAATTTCATGGATTTTGGGAGATGCGATCCCGAAACTATAGATGAAGTCCAAATATCTTTTAATATGTTTTAATTATCTGGATGACTGAACACATATTTCTTATAATTCACAATATCACACAATCTAGTGATGTTGCCATTGTGCCATGGCCTTTGGACACTTGAAGCCAGCTCATCCTTGGCACATGCTATTTCTGGACTCTCAGTGCTTAAATTTCTTCTGCGTCAGGCATCTCCAACTGGCCCTACGCCGTGTATTACAACTTTAGGATCCAGAATCCTAGACAGAATCTTGCACAAGCTTAGGTCAAGTCACATGCCTGGCATTTAGATGCCAGGAAGAAGACGTAGGAGCAATCTCTGCCTTCATATGCAATAGTAGAGGAAGTAGAGCTCTGCATCCTAGTGAGATCTGTGCATTGGGGCATGTCCCCCAGGCAGAGATGGTATTGGGGGCTGGAGAGTCAGAAGATGACAAATACCTCTGATCTGTGGTAGTTACTCCTAGTACCATCATGTTTGTGGTCCTCATGCTTCTGCCAAAGCTGGGAGCTCAGGGAAGTACACACCTTGCATCTAGGACGAGTACCTGAGGGAACGCCTCAGAACTCATCTGACCTCAAACAGAGCTTTCACAGTATCCCCCATTTGGATCACTTGCCTTAGAATCTCCTGGGCTTCTGGTAAAGATGCAGATTGCTGAGTTTTCCCAGACCTACCAAATCAGAATCTCTGGAGGTACAGCTCAGGCATATGTATGCTTTCCGACTTCCTGAGTGATTCAGCTACATGCCCATACTTGAGAACCCTAGTGTGGGGCAAGATTAAAGAAGGCAGGTCATCGGCAAGGTTTGAGCTGCATCTTGAAGAACAAGCCAAATTTGGGTGCATGATGTCATTCTAGACAGGGGGAATGGCAGAGGGTGTTGCAGGATGTAGTGGTCAGTGGCCAGGCATGAGAAAGTCCTGGTGACCTGTGGAAGTGGGTGAAACAGAAGTGGGACATCAGATGGATGGGTCTTGCTATAGTGGAGAATGGGGAGCTCTCGAGTGTTGACCAATGGGCTGTGATGTAATGGAAGCAGGAAGGAAGATGTCACAAGGTCAGTGATCACTCTTTTCTCTTCTGCATTTTCCAGAGCTGCTCCCTTTTCACACTTCCTTTCTCAATTGCAAAGTAATAGTCAAGCCTCTCAGGAAACATGGGAAACACCCCTGTGGGGGAAACATCCTCCAGCAACTGGAAGAAGGCCAGCACCCAGTGGACCCTGGGAGTGGGATAGGATGGAGGGGACAGGGCTCTGGGGGTGGCCATGGCTGCTACTGCTGCTGCTGCTGCTCTGGGCCTCAGGTAAGGAGGTGGCAGGGATGCAGACAGCCAAAGGGATACCTGCGAAGAGGGGTTTCTCCCACTTCCTTAGGAGGGACTGGATGGGATCAGGATGTGTGCTAGACACAGGAAAGAGAAATGAAGGGTGCACCTATCCCAGCAGGAACTAGGTGATGAAACAGAACCTGGAGCTTCCTTTAGCATACTGTGAAATCGAGAAAT